AGTCTGCCTGGCAAACCCACATGTGGGAACTCCCTTTCCCGCTGTGTTCAGGACCGCTTAACCTGAATCACCCGTGGGCTTTAGGACATGCAATCCAACTGCCTCCAGGAGAGGCAATTCCGGGACTCTCACCTCACCCTGAAACGCTGCGGTAATGGCAAGGGTTGAACGCTGAAGGATGGTTTCATCCCATCACAGCTTCTCCTACAAAAAACACTACCTGGCATTTACTGTAAGCAGATTTGAATTGGATTTTCAGAATCTGGAGACATCATAAAGCAGACTGTTTAAGAGACCATTCGATCATCATAAATTCAGGACCAGGAAACAACGGTGATGAGCTGACAACACACCCCATTAAACATCAGCATTCTTTGAAAACAGGTCACCAGGTCGGGTGCGATGGCTCATGCCTGTAATCCCAGCACTTTGGGAGGCTGAGGTGGGCAGATCATGAGGTCAAGACATGGAGACCAGCCTGACCAACATGGTAAAACCTCGTCTCTACTAAAAATACAAACATTAGCTGGGCGTGGTGGCATGCACCTGTAGTTCCAGCTACTCCAGCTACTCCAGCTACTAAGGAGCCCTTTGAGAAAGGGCTGTTTTTTAAGGGCATATTTCATTAAGAACAAAAAGAAGGGGAGAAAAGAAAATAGTAATACATTCTGGGGAGCTAGATAGATGAATAAAAACTGTCTTAGGCCAGAAAAAGTTGAGTCATAAGCATGCAGTGGAGAACACGATCATGGAACCCCCAAAAGCCTCCAAAAATAGTGGCACTAGGTTACAATTGGAAGTGAGGGTATAAGATGGAACCAAAATACAGGAGAAACTGAATACTCACAATCTGTTCAAGAAGCAATTAGGCAAAGCCATGTGATCATCTCAATTGGTACAAAAAAGCACCTCACAAACTCCAACACCTTTCCATAACAAAAACACTCAACAAGCCAGGACTGGAAGGGAACTTGCCCCTCACACAATAAAGGGCATCTGTGAAAAACTCAGTGAATGCCGTATTCAAATTTTCCCCCTAAGATGAGCAACAAGACAAGAGTGGCCACTTTCACCACTGCTCCTCAACACCATACTGGAAGTTCTCCCCAGAGCAATTCGTTAAGAAAAGCAGGGGCGGGGGCGGCATACTAATTGGAAAGGAAGATGTAAAACTACCTTTATTCTCAGATGACATGATCTCATATCTAGAAAATCCTAATGAATCAACCAAAAAACTGCTGTCAGAACTAATAAGCAAACTCAGCAAAGTTTCAGGATACAAGATCAATACAAAAGTCAGTTGCATTTGTACACACTAGCAATAAACAATCTGAAAGTCAAACTGGGAAAACAATTCATTTTACGATAGCATCAAAAAGTGTTAAAAACTTAGGAATAAATTTAACCAAGGAAGTGCACCACTTGTACACTGAAAATCACAAACATTGTAGAAAGAATTAAAGACAACCTACATAAATGGGAAGACATTCCATGTTCATGGATGGAAAGACTTAATACTGTTAGGATGGCAGTATTCCCACGGTGATGTACAGATTCAATACTGTCTCTATCAAGACCCCAATGGTCTTTTTTGCAAATGTGGAAAAACCAATCTTTATATGGAACTGCAAAGGGTCCCAAATAGTGAAAAATCTTCCAGAACAAAAGCAAAGTTGGAGGACCCCAACTTCCTAGCTTCAAAACTTACTACAAAATAGTGTGGCATTGGGAGGCCAAGGTGGGGGGATCATGAGGTCAGGAGTTTGAGGCCAGCCTGGCCAACACGGTGAAACCCCGTCTCTATTAAAAATACAAAAATTAGCTGGGCGTGGTGGCGTGCACCTGTAATTCCAGCTACTCGGGAGGCTGAGGCAGGAGACACGTTTGAACTCAGAAGGTGGAGGCTACAGTGAGCCGAGATCACGCCACTGCACTCCAGCCTAGGCAACAGGGCAAGACTCCATCTCAAAAAAAAAAAAAAAAAAAAAAGTGTGGCATTGGCATAAAAACATACAGACCTGCAGAACAGGGTCCAAAAATAGACCCACACATCTACAGTCAATTGATTTTGACAAGGGCACCAAGACCACTCAATAGGGAAAAAGCAGTCCTGTCAACAAATGATGCTTGAACAATTGAATATCCACATGCAAAAGAACAAAGTTAGACCCTACCACACACCGCACACAAGAATGAACTCAAAATGGGTCAAAAACCTAAATACAAGAGCTACAATGATCAACCCTTAAAACACAGGACAAATCCTCCTGACTTTGATTTTTCAGAGTTCTTAGGTATGACATCAAAAGTATGTGCAACAGAAGAAAAAACAGAAAAATTAGAGTTCATCAATTTGTGCATCAAAGGCCACTAACAAGAGAGTGAAGAAACAATCCAAAGACTGGGAGAAAGTATTTACTAATCATGTATCTGATAAGGGTCTAGTATACAGAATAAAGAATTCTGACAACTCAAAAAAAAAAGAGGAAAAAAAAGAAAGGCAACCCAATTTAAAAAAGGAGAAAAAGGCCAGGCAGGGTGGCTCATGCCTGTGATTCCAGCATTTTGGGAGGCCGACGCAGGTGGATCACCTGAGGTTGGGAGTTTGAGACCAACCTGACCAACATGGGGAAACCCCATCTCTACTAAAAATACAAAATTAGCCGGGTGTGATGGCAGGCACCTGTAATCCCAGCTACTCGGGAGGCTGAGGCAGGAGAATCGCTTGAATCCGGGAAGCAGAAGTTGCAGTGAGCCGAGTTTGTGCCACTGCACTCCAGCCTGGGTGACAGAGCGAGACTCCGCCTCAAAAAAAAAAAAAAGGCGGGGGGTTGGGTGGGTAGGCGGGGAAGGACCTGAATGAGAATTTCTCCAAAAATATACAATGGCCAACATGGACACGAAACAATTCTCAACTTCACTGGTCATCAGGGACATGCAAATCACAGCCAAATCAGAAGCCACTTCAGACCCACTAGCATGGTCATCCTTTTTGGAAACTAAGTGTTGGGAGGATGTGCAGAAAGTGAACTCTCATATGTTGCTGATGGAAATGTAAAACGGTGCAGCCACTGCGAAAAATCGTTTGGCACTTCCTCAAAAAGCTAAACACAGACTTGCCATATGACCTGGCAACTCCATTCCTTGGTATATAACCAAAGAATTGAAAACAGGTGCTCAAATAAAAACTCATACACAAATGTTCATAATAGCTGCATTACTCACAAGAGCCAACAGGTGGAAACAGCCCAGGCGAGCATCAACAGACTAATGCATAAACATAATGTGGTATATCTATACAATGCACAATTATTCAGTCATAAAAAGGAGTAGAATACTGATACAGTCTACAACATGCATGAACTCTGAAGACATTATCTTAAGTGAAAGAGGCCAGACACAAGGGGCTGCATACTGTATAATTCCATTTACATGAAATCTCCAGAACAGGCCAATTCATAGAGACAGAAAGCAGATTAGCCATTACCAGGGCCTGGGAAGACGGAAGAATGGGCAGTGGCTGCTTAACACGTATAGGGTTTCCATCTGGGATGATGAAAAGTTATGTAACTAGGTGGTAATGTTGTTTTATGTTACATGTATTTTAGCACAATCGGAAAAAAAAGCAGGTGAATGAGAAGATACTGCATTTATGAAGAACATATCACAAATTTTAAAGGAGAAAAAAAAAAGCCCTGGGAAATTTAAAATACGATGGCCAAACTAAAATGTTAAATAGATACATTGGAAGAAAAAGAGGAAATCTAGAAAGTAGAATAGAAAATGGAAGAAAGATAAGAAAATTATAAAGCCAGCCCAAGCCTTCCAGCCCAAACAGCAGTATTTCCAAAACACTCAGGGGGGGAAAAAAAAAAAAGGTAAACAAATAAGAGGAAACTGTTAGAGAAATAATTTGAGAAAACTAAAGGGTTCAAAAAACTATCAAGTGTCCAACAACAGATGAGAACAAACCAAAACCCACGATGTTTCTACACAGTGGAGATGTAGGGAGTAAAAACGGATTGCACACAAAAGCCTTCATACAAAGCATTAGCAATTAGAGCCGCAAGCACTCCACGGGCAATACTATTACCGAAGCTTAGAAGACACGATTATGAGCAGCTTCCCACCTGGAATCAGAGCCAGGTGCAGCAACCACAAGCTGCAAAGCGAGAGCAGAGACGTGGGACCTCAGCGCCCCTCTGCCCCGGGGAGCCCTGGGCGGCCGGGAGAAATCCCCCCCGTGACGGTGACAGTGGCAAGGTGTTCCCCGCCGCTGCTTATTTTGCGCCAGACACCGTTCCGGGCACTTTGCAGGCGCAACAGGGCGCGGAGACCGCGCGCGCGCCTCCAGGCAGGTGGGGGCGAGAGGATCGCTTGAGCCTAAGAGTCCGACCTGGGCAGCACAGAGAGACCCCCCCAACCCTACAAAAAATACGAGTATCAGCCGGGCGCGGTGGCTCACGCCTGTGATCCCAGCGCTTCGGAAGGCGGAGGCGGGAGGATCGCTCGCGCTCAGGAGGTCGAGACCCCACCTCTTAAATAAAACCGCCTTCCCACCACCCCACCCACGGCCCGGCCGCTACTTCCAGGGGCTGGGACCCTGCAGCGAGGTCCACGCGGGCAGCCCCGGCCGAGGCCTGAGAACGCGAGGAGGACGCTCCTCCACGCCCAGCCCGGGCTACCCGCCGCGGCCTCCCGCGCCTCTCCCCGCTCCGCCCCCGACCCCGCGCCCTGGCCCGGCCGGCGACACCCCGGGGAGGAGCAGGACCCCCGCGCCACGACCCCCAGGGTCCCTGGGCGTCTTCACCTGCGCGGGCTGGGGTAGCTGCGAGGCGCGGGACGGGTGGGGGCGGCAGCCGTAGGCCCAGGAGGCCCTAGCACAGCCCGCGCAGAGGGCGCCCAGGCCGCGACCCCGCGTTCTCCCGGCCCCCGCCCCGCTTCTCCGCAGTCCGGCACCCACCCCAGGGTCCCCTCGGCCCGGCCCGCCCGGAGCTCACCTGCCTCGCGCCGCCGCCTCAGGCCTCGTCTGCGCCGCCCAGGCCGGAGAAGACGCTCCGCCCGCCCCAGCCAATCGCGGGCCGCGCCCCGGGCCGAGGGCGGGAGCAACGCAGGCCTCCACCAATCCCGAGCGCGCCACCTGAAGCGTTCTGGCCAATGACGAGGCGGCTACGGGCCGCGGGCGGAGGAGCCAGGGGGACCCCAGGCGGGGGAAGGGGAGAAGGAGAGGGAGGGATGGGGAGGGGCCTGGATGCGTCACGGGGTGAGACGGGCGGGGCGGGGCCGCGTCGCGTCCCGGTAGGGGGGCTGCACCTGGAGGACGGGGCCTGCATGCAGGGGAGAGGCTGCTCCTGAGGGAGGGGTCTGCACCCGGAGGAGGGCTCCGCATTTGGGGGAAGGGTCTGCACCTGGTGGGGGGTTTGCATCTGGGGGAGGGGCCCGCACCTGGGGGAGGGGCCCGCACTGGCGGAGGAGTCTGCATCGGCGGAGGAGTCCGCGTCTCAGATACAGGGTCTACGTTGGGGAGGGGTCTGCATCTTCGGAAAGGTGTTTGGATCTGGAGGAGGGGTCTTGGGGAGGGGCCCCTGCGGCTCTGGGAGGCAGCCCCCGCTTCCCACGGGGCTCACCTCGGCCAGTGACTCCTTGGCCTCCCGAACGTCTCCCCGTGCTGGCCGCCGCCCCCACCCCAATTCGCCGCAGCTCCAGGCGCGCGCAGGCGCTCCCAGGCCGGGCTCCTCCCTTGGCCCCTGCTCCTCGGGCGCCCTTCTGGGGAATGAGTGCGGTCTGCAGGCGTGGTCACCCGCAGGGCCCTGGCTGATGGAAATGCAGCTCTTCTGTCGTGGAATTCGCAGGTTGTCTTCTCCGTGCTGGGGACTGCACCGCGTCTTGCAAATACTGATTTGTTCTGTGCATTTTTAGGACGAAGTATAATTTACAATCATGTTCACCTTTTTTACTCTTGTTTTTTTTTTTGAGACAGGGTCTCACTCCCGTTGCCCAGGCTGGACTGCAGTGGCACAGTCATAGCTCGCTGTGACCTCAACCTCCCCGGCCCAGGTGATCCTCCCACCTCAGACTCCCGTGGCTGGAACTACAGTCGCGCGTGGCTTTTTTTTTTTTTTTGAGATGAAGTCTCTCACCGTTGCTTGGGCTGGAGTGCAGTGGCATGATCTTGGCTCATTGCAACCTCCGCCTCCTGGGTTCAAGCGATTCTCCTGCCTCAGTCTCCCCAGTAGCTGGGATTATAGGAACCTGCCACCACGCCCTGCTAATTTCATGTGTTTTTAGTAGAGATGGGGTTTCACCATGTTGGCCAGGCTGGTCTTGAACTCCTGATCTCGTGATTCGCCCGCCTCGGCCTCCCAAAGTGCTGGGATTACAGGCGTGAGCCACCGCGCCCCGCCTTTTTTGTGTTTTTTTTGTAGACGTGGGGGTGTCACTGTGTTGTCCAGGCTGGTCTTGAACTCCTGACCTCGTTATCTGCCCGCCTTGGCCTCCCAAAGTGCTGGGATTACAGGCGTGAGCCACCACGCCCGGCCTAGACGGGGTTTCACCACGTTGGCCAGGCTGGTCTCGAACTCCTGTTTTTTCCCTTTTGTTTTGCTTTTTGTTGTTGTTGTTTAGAGACAGGGTCTTGCTCTGTCATCCAGGCTGGAGTGGTATGATCATAGCTCACTGCCGCCTCGACGTCCCATGTTCAAGCCATCCTCCCACACACCACCTGAGTAGCTGAGACTACAGGCACACACCACCGTGTCTGGCTAATTTTTAAAATTTTTTTGTAGAGATAGGGTCTCACTATGTTGCCCAGGCCGGTCTTGAACTCTTGGTCTGAAGCAATCCTGTGCCTCAGCGTCCCCCAGTACCCGCTACCACACCTGACTACTGATGGCCCTTACATTGCTGCTAAAACTCTGCATCAGATCTCCTTTTTAAACAGGCACATCTGTTTGGAGGAAAGATTTTGGCAGATGGCTGTGCCAGAACCTACCACCTGGGTCTGTCACTAGAAAAGATGGACATTCTAATACTAGGATCGTGTCCCCAAAAAGGCTGGCCTCCACTCTGCCCACCCTGGGGCCAGTACGGCTCCCCACCCCGTAAGGCCCTGGTCCTCAGAGTGGGTTAAGGGAGGAACAAGAACAAGCAGGTAGGAGAATCTGGAGGCTTCTGTGTCTCCCGAAACACAGCTTAGCTCTGTTTTCTTCGGCCTGGCCAACCGTCCTCATTTCAGAAGTTGGGCAGCAGGCTGGACTTCAGTCCCTAAGGCTCTTCCCAGCGCTGCAGAGCAGGATGGAGCAGGTGGCGCAGCCATTGATATTTCAAAGCAAGGGAAACGGAGGCAGGGGCCGGGCCGGCAGCCTGGCTGGAGTGAGACCGGACGCAGTGACCCCGTAGGCGGGCTCATTGTCTTCACGGCCACCATCTCTGCTGCAGAACCGAGGGCAGCAACGGCCCGTTTTGGGAAGCTCCCGGGGGAGCGCAGTGCTGCTTTCTCGGTGAGCTCACACCTCAAATTTGGCAGCAGGCTGTGCCTTTCAGCGGTAAACAGAAACCGGCTCCTGGGAGACGAGTCAGAAACCCGAGTCCACAGGCTTCGTGCCATCTGGATCTGGATGAGGGTGGCTGCACAAGGGCCAGGGAGAGGGTCGGACGAAGGAAAATTACCCAGCCGACCTCCGGGAGGCTCAAGAAATCCCTTTCACTCTCTCTGTCTCTCTCTCTGTTTTTTTTTTTTTTTTTTTTTTTGAGACAGAGTTTCGCTCTTGTCGCCCAGGCTGGAGTGCAATGGCGCGATCTCAGGTCACTGCAACCTCCACCTCCCATAAATCCCTTTCTCTTAAGGAAACAATTTGGCTTCTCTGCCGGCTGCTTCCCCATCCTGCCCGCTTCTGGTTCCTCCTTTGGGCCAGAAGCATCCGCAGAGGAAATGGTTTTTGGTGGGTGGTTGTCCCCTGCGGTGAGTGAGGGCGGCCCCTGGTGTGGTTTCAGGGCGTGAGTCTGTGGGGAGTGGTGAAAGGAACTTGCCAGAGAGCTGCAACAGATTTCAGCCAGATTTCCCAATACACAGAATCCAAAATCCATGCACAGACGCTCCCAGTATTGACAGAGGGTTTGAACTCAGTACAGACTGCAGACATGCATGCTGGGCCCTGAAGAGCGTTTTATTTACTTATGTATGTATGTATGTATGTATTTGCTTATTTTTGAGAGAGAGCCTTGCTCTGTCACCCAGGCTGGAATGCAGTGGCACAATCACGGCTCATGGAAGCCTCAAACTCCTGGCCTCAAGTGATTCTCTTGCCTCAGCCTCTTGAGTAGCTGGGACTACAGGCACCCACCACAATGCCCAGCTAATTTTATTTTTTTAACTTTTTGTAGAGAGAGGGTCTTGCCATGTTACCCAGTCTGGTCTCAAACTCCTGGGCTCAAGCCGTCCTCCCACTTTGGCCTCCCAAAGTGCTGGGATGACAGGTGTGAGCCACCTCACCTGGCCTTCTCCTTTTTTTTTGAAACAGAGTCTTGCTGTGTCACCAGGCTGGAGTGCAGTGGTGTGATCTCGGCTCACTGCAACCTCTGCCTCCCAGGTTCGATTAATTCCCCTGCCTCAGCCTCCCGAGTAGCTGGGATTACAGGTGCACACCACCATGCGCGGCTAATTTTTTGTATTTTAGTAGAGACAGGTTTCACCATGTTGGCCAGGATGGTCTCGATCTCCTGACCATGTGATCCGCCTGCCTCGGCCTCCCAAAGTGCTGGGATTACAGGCGTGAGCCACTGCACCCAGCCACCTCCTTTTATAAGGATATGTATTGGATCCAGGGCCCACCCTAAGCCAGGATGGTCTCATCTCTAGATCTTTACCTTCATTATATCTGCAAAGACCCTTATTCCAAGTAACATTTCATTCTGAGGTGAACAAATCTGGGGGCTGCTATGCATCCTGCTACTGTTTAACAGACCTGCCAAGAGATGACCTGCCCCCAGGGATTAGCTAAGTAAAAGAGCAGGCATCTTAAAACAAAACAATAAAACAAAGTGCCTCCCAAATGTCCTTGTTTATCTTGAAAGAGCTGTCTGTCCTCCCTCCCTCTACTGCCTCCTCCTGTTCTCTCCAGAGCCCATCCTTACCGCGCTGCCAAAATCACTCCCACCAAGGCCGCTGTCGCTGTGACTCACTGAAGCCTAGGTGGGTTCTCAGCCTTCCCCAGCCATGGCTCTGCGGCCAGGCTGCACCCTCCTGTCCCCTATCATCCTCCCTGGCCCCTCCCCCACCGTCCTCCCCATACTGTCCTCCCCAGCCCTGCACCCTCCCGTCCCCCACTGTCCTCACACCGTCCTACCCAGCCCTGCACCCCCCTGTCCCCCACTGTCCTCACACCGTCCTACCCAGCCCTGCACCCCCCTGCCCCCCACTGTCCTCACACCGTCCTACCCAGCCCTGCACCCCCCTGTCCCCCACTGTCCTGCTCACAGCGTCCTCCCCAGCCCTGCACCCTCCCATCCCCCACCATCCTCCCAACACCATCCTCCCCAGCTCTGCACCCTCCTGTCCCCCACTGTCCTCCCCACATCGTCCTCCCCAGCCCTGCACCCCGTCTCCCACTGTCCTCCTCACACTGTCCTCCCCAGCCCTGCACCCTCCCATCCCCACCGTCCTCCCCGTGCCGTCCTCCCCAGCCCTGCACCCCCATCCCCCACCGTCCTCCCTAGCCCTGAACCCTCTCGTCCCCCACCATCCTCCCTACAGCGTCCTCCCCAGCCCTGCACCCCCCTGTCCCCCACTGTCCTCCCCACGCCATCCTCCCCAGCCCTGCACTCTCCTGTCCCCCACCATCATCCCCACACCATCCTCCCCAGCCCTGCACCCTCCTGTCCCCCACTGTCCTCCCCACACTGTCCTCCCCAGCCCTGCACCCCCCATCCCCCACTGTCCTCCCCACACCATCCTTTCCAGCCCTGCACCCTCCTGTTCCACACTGTTCTCCCCAGCGCTGCGCTCTCCCATCCCCCACCGTCCTCCCTAGCCCTGCACCTTCCCGTCCCCCACCGTCCTCCCCCCAGCGTCCTCCCCACACCGTCCTGTTCAGCTTGGCACCCTCTCTTCTCCACCCATCCTGAGTCTCCTTCTGACCTTTGCGGTTTCTTCCTTATGCTCCTGACCTGTAGACACTGAAGCGTTCAGGGCTCGCCCTAGTGTGTCTTATTGCTGTCTACACA